GTGAAAGAGTTTGATGCGCAGTTTTAGGTTTTCTGTCCAGTTGTTCCACAGCTTCAACACTTTAACAGATTCACAAAAATTTCAGTTTGTTCTGATTTTCTTTTTAATAAACACGTCCGTTCCTCTGAGCTCATATCGGCTCTTTCGGATTTTGAACATGTTCTGTAAAGATTTTGACAGATTATTGTTTTCTTTGAACATGATTTTCAGAGTATAAAGGTAAAGACTAAATCATAAAATTTCAGCGTTTGAAGGTTTATAAATAACAAATTGGTTGATTCGTTATAAGTTGATAATGTGATTTGCTCTTATTGCCTTTTTTTTGCAGGTAAAAACTGGATTTGTATTAGTTTTATAAGTATTTCCCCAAATCTCAATACTGTAGTTTATGTCGAGCATCACCAGTGAATTATATATAATAAAAAGACTGTTTTTATCTAGGATATATCTATATTTGTATATGATTGCGATCACTTTAGATTATTTATTTATTTATTTATTTATTTATTTTCCCCAATATTTGTAGACAAGAAAAATTTCACGTGAACAACTGGCCACGTTATTAACACAGGTCAACATACACCAAAAAAATTAAATAAAATAAAGATAATAATAATAATAATTACAAACAAATTACACACTCACACACTCATACACATTCACATGTTCACTTTACAATATTTGCACAATACAATTTATCAGTCGCAGGTAAGTCTTGATTTATATTCGGTGACCATATGTACTTAAAAAAAATATATATATATATATATATATATATATATATATATATATATATAGGATCATTTATTTTTTATTTTATTTATGTGTGATGCAGGTTTGAGCTGTAAACACGAGTGAAAAACACGCAGAGAAAGAATCAGTTTGAATGTGGCTTTGAGTAAAACCTGGTCCAGCTGTGAGGGGCCTGGGGGGGGTGAGGGGGGCCCGGGGGGGGGACGGGGGGACGGGGGGACAGGGGGGGCCTCCTCTGCTTTGTGCACCTGTCAGTGTGGATTTGTGCTCACCTTTGTTCTGCTCGCGGTCAGGAACATGTATTCAACGCTTCAACTGTTCCTGGACTTTCTTTGAGGCTCTGAAACCGGAAGAACCAAGCGGACGAACGGTTTAAAAAAGAAGACCACCCGTAAAAGTGTCTTGCTCAATAACCGGGTGTTGTAACCGCGTGGCGGCGTCGTCCGAGTGGCCCGAGCCGCAGTCGTGTCGTGTGTGTGGAACTTGAACGTCTCTGGAGATAAACTTTGACACAGTGAACCAGATGCGGCGCTCGCAGTGACGCCGAGGCTCCTGCGGGCGGCGCTGCTGCTGCTGCACACGGCCCTGAGGCTCGCGCTCTTACGCTCCTGGTTACGCGACCAAACCCCCCCCCCCCCCCCCCCCCCCCCCGTCAAACTGTGGCCCCCTCACTCCCCCCTCCTCCCTGAACCTTCTCTCCATCCTGTAAAAACAAAGTGACGCACGTGGCTCCTCCAAACTCTGGACCAGTTTAACGTCCAGTAAAAAGACGATCATTAAAAACACTCTTTACAGTGTTAATTATCGCTAAATATTGGCGTTAATCAGCTCAGTTATCGTGTTTATTTATTAGTTATTTATTACAGCGATTAACTCCACGAAACCGACTACGTGACAAGGAAAACTTTTTTTTTTTTTTTGACACTGTTGTTTGTGCAAAAACTGGAGGGTTAAAATTTCAGAGTTGTTTTTAACACAAAAAGTGTTATTTTAACTATTTGAAAGTTAAATTGGGGTTTGAGTTGGGGTTATTTGAAGCTGAGTTGATGTGGTTGAAATTAATTCAACTTTCCCTAGTGTTAATTCAACTTCGCTCAGTGTTAATTCAACTTCCCTTGGTGTTAAATCAACCTTCCTTAGTGTTAATTTGTCTCCTCCACCACTTCAAACTCCCTCCAGAGAAGAACCAGTTTGAACCAGTTTTGTTCATAATTTCATCTTAAATTAACTCAAATAAAGTGTCAAAATAAAAACCCCTCTGTGTGTTGTTGAGTTAAATCAGGATAACTCTACAAAGTGTTATCTGTTTACTCTCTAAACGTTCATTTAACTCTGGATTTCAGGTTAAACAGGAACTTTGGTCCAGTTTTACTTCATGAACATTTACACAAATGTTAAATTAACTCTAGAACAGAGTGACTCAGATAAACACTGAGAAAATGTTAAAATTGTTTCCGTGAGAGTGAATTTTTAGCACTTCACTTGCTCTGTGTGTTTTTATTTATTTTATTTTTGTATTATTAAACGTCACATTATGTCTTGTATTACACATTTGTCAGTATTTTTTTAAAGCCATAATTTAATTTAATTTAATTTTGTTTAATTTAATTCAATTTTATTTTATTTTATTGGAGCACAATTATGGTGAGGAGGTAACATTAGTGAGGAAATTAAAACATATCAGACTTTATTTGTATTTAAAACTGAATGGTTCATTCTTAACGATCATTTAAACAAATAAATATGTCTGTTATTAAAGTTTAAAGTGTAATATTACTCATTCAGAACGGAGAAAAAATGTCACGTGTTTGTTTTTGTTTTGGTCTCGTCAAATGAAAAACACTTTTTATGAATCAAACTGAACTGAACTAAAGACGCACGACGGCACATTCAGGCGGAGGACGGAGGGGGCGGGGTCTATTCAGGCGGAGGACGGAGGGGCGGGGTCTATGCTGACGGAAGACGGAGGGGGCGGGGTCTATCCTGGCGGAGGACGGAGGGGGCGGGGTCTATGCTGACGGAGGACGGAGGGGGCGGGGTCTATCCTGGCGGAGGACGGAGGGGCGGGGTCTATCCTGGCGGACGACGGAGGGGCGGGGTCTATTCTGGAGGAGGACGGAGGGGGCGGGGTCTATCCTGACGGAGGACGGAGGGGGCGGGGTCTCGTGATGTAACGCCGGGTCGTCTCCGGGGCAGATGTGGCATTTTTCTGAACGGGCCCCGACTTCACACACACACCACAGTGACACGGGGCCCAGCGGGGGGCCCCACCACAACGTTACACAACACCACACAACGACGACACAACCAGGAGAGTCTGTGTGACGACGCAAACTCCCGTCAAACACAAACGCACAACTACACACAAACTACGACAACCGTTTGTGCTGCTAAAAGTTTAATTTGTGCTGTTTTAGTTTTGCAGATTCTTGTGTTTTTATCTCAAATATCAGTCAAAACCAAATGACTAAAGACACAGACTTTTCCACAGACTCGGGTCGTTTCTCTTCACGAGTTTTGTGGAGTTTTGTTAAAGTCGCTGTCGTCAACGGAACAGAAACGACCAAAATATAATTTACACAAAAATAATAATTAATCATTTTAGAAATAAACTCACACAAATGAAAAGAGTCACACACAAAACAACACAAACCAAACACAAATGTTCACATAATTTTCTGCTGTTTTGAGTCTCTTACAGAAATATAACATTTTCTCAGAGTTTATCTGAGTCACTCTGTTCTAGAGTTAATTTAACATTTTTTTGTAAATGTTCATGAAGTAAAACTGGACCAAAGTTCCTGTTTAACCCAAATCCAGAGTTAAATGAAGGTTTAGAGAGTAAACAGATAACACTGTGTAGAGTTATCCTGATTTAACTAAACAACACACAGAGGAGTTTATTCACTTTATTTGAGTTAATTTAAGATGAAATTATGAACAAAACTGGTTCAAACTGGTTCTTCTCTGGAGAGGAGCCAAATTTCAACCAAATCAAATAACACCAACTCAAACCCCAAATTAACTTTCAAAGAGTTAAAATAACACTTTTGGTGTTAAAAACAACTCTGAAATATTTTACACTGAAATTTTAACCCTTCAGTTTTTGCTGTGTGCTCCTGAACCTTGAGGTTATTTCCCAGAGTTGATTTGGTTAATTTAACTTCTCTTAGTGTTAATTTGTCTCCACCACTTTAAACTCCCTCCAGAGTAAGAACCAGTTTGAACCAGTTTTGTTCTGAATTTCATTTTAAATTAACTCAAATAAAGTGTCAAAATAAAACCCCTCTGTGTGTTGTTGAGTTAAATCAGGTTAACTCTACAAAGTGTTATCTGTTTACTCTCTAAACCTTCATTTAACTCTGGATTTGGGTTAAACAGGAACTTTGGTCCAGTTTTACTTCATGAACATTTACACAAATGTTAAATTAACTCTAGAACAGAGTGACTCAGAGAAACTCTGAGAAACTGATTCTGTGAGAGTTCATTTTAACTCTCCAGAGAGTGAAGTGTTACTCAAACATGTGAATGAAACAAAACACAACTCCACAGTTTTATAAACCGTTTTATAAAATAACTTAAAGCTCAATAGAGTCGGTTTTGTGTAACAGAGACTTTTGTTGTTACGTAGCGGTGTTATCGTGCGCGCGGTGTTATCGTGCGCGCGAGGTTATCGTGCGCGCGGTGTTATCGTGCGCGCGGTGTTATCGTGCGCGAGGTGTTATCGTGCGCGGGGAAGTGGGTCATACATGCGGCTCTGAGTCAAACATTCACCTGTTACGGCCCTGCCCCCCCCCCCCCCCCCCCGTCCTCTTATCTGCCCCCGACAAACGCACATGTGGAGCAGAAACACCAGAACCACGATCCGAGACTCACGAGAACAAACACCTGCTCCTCAGGACCAGATGTGATCCTGTTTAAAACCAGATTTACTCCTGTTTAAAAACCAGATTTACTCCTGTTTAAAAACCAGATTCAAGACCAGATTTAAAACCAGTTTTAGTCCCGTTTAAGACCAGTTTTAGTCCAGTTTTAGTTTTAAGACCAGTTTTAGTCCTGGTGGAGCTGCTCATCCACGGTGCGTCTTGGTTCCTCGCGGACGCGTCACGGAGAGAGAAAGACCCTCCTCCTCTTCCTCCTCTTCCTCCTCTTCGTCTATAAGAAGCGGATCACACAAAGGAGCGCGCTCAGACGGACGGACCGCGCGCGCACCGGGACTTTCACGCGCACCGCACACGGACACGGTCATGGAGAAAGGCGCGAGCTCAGCCAGACCCAACTGGGACAGTCCGGTCCAGTTCCTGTTGGCCTGCGTCTCCTACGCGGTGGGACTCGGGAACGTGTGGCGCTTCCCGTACCTGTGCCAGATGCACGGGGGAGGTGAGTGCGCGACACGTGCACGCGGCTGTGTGTGTGTGTGTGGGGGGGGGGGTGGGTGCAACACCTGCTCCGCGTGCGCTTTTTCTCCTTTTCCACGCGCACCTTTACGCACACGCTCCACATGACACAATCCTCCACACACACACACACACACACACACGCGCACACACACACACGCGCGCACGCACAGACGTGCACTTGTGTTTGTTTCACTTCACACGTGTTTGAATAATCCTTTATTCTGAGTCTGTCTACATCTCCAAACGCTCTGTTCCACCTTGTGATGTCATATAGTGGTATTTCTCAAGTGAACAGCTCCTTTTACCTTCAGTATTTGTAGTTTTATTGGGTCATTTTGCAGCTCAACAAAACAAAACACAGACTCCAGCCTCGTGGATCAGGACTGAAATCGTTGAGGCTGAAGTCAAAACTTCTTCTAAATCTAAAATCCTAAATCTGTTAAACAAACACAGAATTCGTGTGAAGAATTCCTCAGTCGTCCAGGTCGAATCCACGACGAGGAGAAAACAGAAAACAGAAAACAGAAAACAGAATTCCAAGAAAAAAGCAGCGTCTGAACAGCAAGTTTGAGTTTATAATTTCACTTACGACTTACAAACTGAATTTAATCCATAATTCATTCTTTCATTCCAGAGCTGTAGATCTTTCAGAACATAACACTTTAAACTCTTTTTTAAAGGTTTATACGGTGTTAGACTTTTGTTCCGCACACTCACCTCTCGAACACAAATACAAACACTTTTTTACTCGGTTCTTAGCTTCATTTTTTTTTAAAGATTTCAGTTTTTCATTTAGTTTTTTTCTTTTCTGGTCGTACAAACCAGAGTCGTGACCTGGACTCGAGTCAGACCTGAGCCACTATTTTTACAAATTGACTTGACAAAACGGACTAAGACTTGGGACTCGACTCGGACTTGAGGCCTGCGACGTAAGAAAAACTCTTTAAATCTGGATTCTTTCTGTTCTGATGTGACGATTTACACTAAGATCTTGTCAAGACGTTTAAAAAGGAAAAATTTATCTAAATTCATTTCTTTCTTAAATCCAGACTCAAAACATTTCTGTTTGACTGTGCAAATAACTGAAAGGTTTTCATTCCGCACTCTTCTCTCCAATTTATGTCTCTCTTTTTTAATTTTAATCTTCATGATTATTTATGTTTTGATTAGTTTTTATTATGATTTTAAAGTATTTCTTATTCTGTAAAACACTTCGAATGACTTTGTGGACGAATTGTGCTGTACAAATAAACTTACTTTTGCCTTACAACACTTATATAAATACTTAAGTATAAATATACTGTGACTTTTTAATTACAGTTTAATTAAAATTCATATAAACTGCAAAAATCTAAACTATATTTGGTATTTTTTGGTTTAAAGACTTGAAATGACTTGAAGTTCAAAGCAGACGACTTGGATTTGACTTGGACTTGACTTGGACTTGGACTTGATTTGGACTTGACTTGGACTTGACTTGGATTTGACTTGGATTTGACTTGGACTTGACTTGGACTTGACTTGGATTTGACTTGGACTTGACTTGACTTGACTTGACTTGGACTTGACTTGGGACTTTGACTTGGACTTGACTTGACTTGACTTGGACTTGACTTGACTTGATTGACTTGACTTGGACTTGACTTGGACTTGACTTGGACTTGACTTGACTTGACTTGATGACTTGACTTGACTTGGACTTGACTTGGACTTGACTTGGACTTGACTTGGACTTGTGGGCCAGGGACTCTAGACTCGACTTGGACTTGAGGCCTGCGACGTGAGAAACTCTTTAAATCTGGATTCTTTCTGTTCTGATGTGACGATTCACACTAAGATCTTGTCAAGACGTTTAAAAAGGAAAAAATTACCAAATTCATTTCTACAACTCATATAAACTCTATAGATACATAAATATATAAAAATATAAATATATATAAAAATATATAAAAAATATAAATATAGTGTGATTTTTTAAGCACAGTTTAGTTTAAAATTCATATAAATTACAAAAACAAACCTTTATTATATTTAGTACTTTGGTTTAAAGACTTGAAATGACTTGAAGTTCAAAGACTTGGACTTGACTTGGTTTTATGGACCAGTGACTCGAGACTCGACTTGGACTTGACTGTATTTGACTTGGGACTTGACTCAGACTTGAGGTCAGAGACTTGAGACTCACAAAACGACGACTTGGTCCCAGCTCTTTTACAAACTAATAATAATGTGAACGAAAGAATAAAAGTTTCTCGTTTATGATCGTGTCAAAATAAAACGTGATGTTAAAATATTAAAGAAAACGTTAAAGAAAAGTTTGTGTTTAGTTCAAAGTCGCGGTTTTATTTGTGAAAACGATGGATCTGGTCGAGTCGTTCGGTCGAGATCAGAAATTCCAGGACCTGAAATGATCCAGTTGATTCTAGTGAAGGTGTGTGGAGTTTAAAAACACAGTGGAGCTTTTTCTGTATCACCACATGATGACATCACCAGGTGGAACAGAGTGTTTTTTGTTGTGTTGAGAGAAGAACTGAGTGTAAATGTGCAGGTTTGTGAGTTAAACGTGTGAATGAAACAACGGGAACATCAGAACATGTTTTAAATCTCACTGGAGTCACTTTTGTTTGATATTGAACCTTTGGGATTTGACCTTTAAAGAGTTTTTGTGGTTTGTTGTGGCTCCTGGACGTCAGAGCTGAAGGGAAAGTGGACGTGAAGCTCGAGGAAACATCGTCCACTCGCTTCTCGCTTCTCCCAACGTGACATAAAAAAACAAAGAACAAATAGAAAGAAAATAACTACAATAATAAATGTCAAACCAGAGAAAAAGGTGAAAACAAACTACACAGACTCAAGAAATCTGCAGGACTGAACCAGAAACTAAAACCAGGACTGAACCAGGAACTAAACCAGGACTAAACCAGGATTAAACCAGAACTGAACCAGGACTGAACCAGGACTGAACCAGGACTAAAACCAGGACTAAAAGGACTAGGACTAAATGAGGACTAAACCAGGACTGAACTAGAACTAAACCAGGACTGAACTAGGACTAAACCGTACTCATACCTCCTGGGTCAGTCCTGTTGTAGTCCTGGTTTAGTCCCTGTTTAGTCCTGTTTTAGTCCTTGTTTAGTCTTAGTTTAGTCCTGGTTTAGTCCTGGTTTAGTCCTGGTTTAGTCCTGGTTTAGTCCCTGTTTAGTCCCGTTTTCCGTGTTTAGTCCCGGTTTAGTCTTGGTTCAGTCCTGGTTTAGTCCTGGTTTAGTCCTTTTAGTGTGTGTAAATGTGTGTATGTGTGTGTGTAAGTGTGTGTAGTTTTCTCCATCAGTTTCATAAATCTGCTCCATCACCAAATCTTCAACCAACAAACTCCACAAAGGAGAAACATTCTTCATGAACAATTTATCCACAAATATCAAGAGAAGAAAGTTGATTGACAGAACCTCACAACTGTGAGTGATGAAAGTCACACCGTCTGTTCTGGTGGAAGCTGCAGGAGCTTCTGTTCTCGCACCATCAGACTCACAGCAGCTTCATCCTCCAGACTCCAGACGAGAGGAGCTGAACTCTCCTCCAGAACCTCCAGACGACCAGGAACCTGCACCTCCACAAAGAACAGCTGGACTTTTCCATTTATTATTATTTATTTACACACGTGAGAGTGAGAAGCACAGTTTCGTTGGTAACACTTTATAATAACTACACCTTATTTAGCCTTAATAAAGCATGAACAAAGACTTAATTAATAATGATTCACGCTTAGTAACTTACTTAATTACTACCTGAATTAGCACTTAACTTGCACTTAATTCACCTGTGCTGTAAATAGTTACTCATAAGTATTTCTTACTTAATTACTCATGAACTAACCATTTATGTGCATTTGTAAATGTATATTTAAGTACAAATTGGAGCATTTATTAATGATTAGTAAACCATGAAAGAATGATTTACTAGTAATGCATTATTGTTTCTCTGGAATTTGACCAACCTTAACAAATGTTTAATAAACATAATTAAAACTCTCAGAAAGACTTAACTAACAGATAACAGCTGCTGAATGATCATTGTGTTGTGTTATTAGTAAATCATTCTGTCATGGGTTATTAATCATTAATAAATGCTCAAATGTGAACTTAAATATACATTTGTAAACATGCAAATGGTTAGTTCATGAGTAATTAAGTAAGAAATACTTGAGTAAGTATTTCCAGCACAGGCGAATTAAGTGCAAGTGAAGTGCTAATTCAGGTAGTAATTAAGTAGTTACTAAGTGTGAATCATTAATAATTAAGTCTTTGTTCATGCTTTATTAAGGTGTAGTTATTATAAAGTGTTACCATTTTGTTTCTTCATTTGTTTTGTATGAAAAATTGACAGTAAATGTTTTTGAACTTGAACTAAGAAAGACAAAAGCTTAAAGGAAAAGAACGAGCCACATGAGTCACACACTGAAATAAACTAACGATATGAGACTCACAGTTAAACCGCACAAATCTGTCCATGCAAATATCCACATCATCAAATCCATCAGTCTGAACAAGTTCCTTCTGTTTTCTCCAGGATCAGAACATGAGTTGAGTTTGTTGTTGTGACTCGTTGTTTCTTTAAGTTTTGTTCTTTCTTCTCTTGATATTTGTGGATAAATTGTTCATGAAGAATGTTTCTCCTTTGTGGAGTTTGTCGGTTAAAGATTTGGTGATGGAGCAGATTTATGAAACTGCTGGAGAAAACGACACACATTTACACACACATTTACACACACACTTACACACACATTTACACAGAAAACCATTAACCAGAAGTTCCACAAACCTAAAGCAAATTACATCCAAACACGTCTAAACTGGGTTTATATCAGAACTAAACCAGCGCAGCCTCCAGCAGGTCTGTGTGGGTCTTTTTGGTCTTTTTTGGTCCTTGTGAGTGACCAGTTGGTGTGTGTGTGTGTGTGTGTGTGTGTGTGTGTGTGTGCGTGTGCGCGTGCGCGTGTGTGTGTGTGTGTGTGCAGGGGGCTTCCTGATCCCGTACCTGCTCATGCTTTTCCTGGAGGGGGTCCCGCTCTTCTACATGGAACTCGCCATCGGACAGAAGATGCGTCAGGGAAGTATCGGGGCCTGGACCAACATCAGCCCGTACCTGGGCGGAGTGGGTCAGTCACACACACGACACCTGTCACACATGACACCTGTCACACATGACACCTGTCACACATGACACCTGTAACACACGACACACACTGTCACACATGACACCTGTCACACACGACACACACACACATGTCACACATGACACCTGTCACACATGTCACACATGTCACACACGACACCTGTCACACACACCTGTCACACACTGTACACATGTCACACATGACACCTGTCACACACACACACACACTGTCACACATGTCACACACTGTCACACACACGACACCTGTCACACATGACACCTGTCACACATGACACCTGTCACACACACCGACACCTGTCACACATGACACCTGTCACACATGACACCTGTCACACACACACACTGTCACACACACGACACACACTGACACCTCACACACACGACACCTGTCACACACACACGACACCTGTCACACATGACACCTGTCACACACACACCTGTCACACACACAACACCTGTAACACACACAACACCTGTAACACACACAACACCAGTCACACATGACACCTGTCACACATGACACCTGTCACACACACGACACCTGTCACACACGACACCTGTCACACATGACACCTGTCACACACACGACACCTGTAACACACACAACACCTGTAACACACACAACACCAGTCACACATGACACCTGTCACACATGACACCTGTCACACACACGACACCTGTCACACATGACACCTGTCACACATGACACCTGTAACACACCACAACACCTGTAACACACACACAACACCTGTAACACACACACACACACACCAGTCACACATGACACCTGTCACACATGACACCTGTCACACACACACGACACCTGTCACACATGACACACATGTCACACATGACACCTGTCACACACACGACACCTGTCACACACATGACACCTGTCACACATGACACCTGTCACACACACACACGACACCTGTCACACACGACACCTGTCACACACACGACACCTGTCACACATGACACCTGTAACACACACGACACCTGTCACACACACACACACACACCTGTCACACATGACACACTGTACACACACACATGACACCTGTCACACACACGACACCTGTCACACACACTCAGTCGTTTAAAACCTTTAATGGTGTTTAATCTCATGAGTTTTGTGACTCGTGATGAATGAATCTCACATTTTTGTCCTTTTGAATCAGTTTCATTTTCTCGTCCAAGTAGAAAAGTGACAGATTCTGTGCAAATGTTTGTTACAAACCAGAACAAAAGTCAGTGAGCGTCTGTGTAGAAGGTTCCACTGTCATGTTCCTCTGAGATGAAGAGTCTCCTGACCTGAGGTAGTTCTCCTGTGACCTGAGGTAGTTCTCCTGTGACCTGAGGTAGTTCTCCTGTGACCTGAGGTAGTTCTCCTGTGACCTGAGGTAGTTCTCCTGTGACCTGAGGTAGTTCTCCTGTGACCTGAGGTAGTTCTCCTGTGACCTGAGGTAGTACCTGAGGTAGTTCTCCTGTGACCTGAGGTAGTTCTCCTGTGACCTGAGGTAGTTCTCCTGTGACCTGAGGTAGTTCTCCTGTGACCTGAGGTAGTTCTCCTGTGACCTCTGTGATCACCTGACTCCTGTGACCTGAGTTCTCCTGTGACCTGTTCCACACTCACCTGACTCTGTGACCTGAGAACAGAACCGAGCTGCAGACGGTGACATCATCACCTGGTGCTCCTGTGACCTGAGCAGAGAAAATCAGTCCCTGTGACCTGCGGCCTGACAAACGTGTTAAACAGTGAGAGAAAAACTGAAGAGGCTCTAAAACTTCTGTCTCTGTCTCAGTACAGATTCACCGTGTCTTTTAGAGCAGAGTTTATTTTGTGTTTTCCTTGTATGAGTGACACACACACACACACACACACACACACACACACACACACACACACACACACACGCACAGCACACACACACACACACACACACACACACACACACACACACACACACACACACACACACGCACACACACACACACACACACACACACACACACACACACACACACACACACACACACACACACACACACACACACACACACAGCTCGAGATGGTCCATCTCTTTCAGCCGGTAATTCTCAGTTTTGTACAAATTGTTTTGCCTCCAGTTTACAGTCAGATTCTGTCGTTTTTTTAATGTTCCAGCTTATGAAAAAACTCGGTCACTGAGTCACAAAGAGCAATAATGTCACAATTTTTTTTAAAAAGGACGCAGTTAAAATTGTTTTGCATTAACTCATTAATAAGGCAAGTTTATTTGTACAGCACAATTCGTACACAAAGTATTTCAAAGTGTTTTACAGAATAAGAAATACATTAAAATCATAATCAAAACAAAACATAAATAATCATGAAGATTAAAATGAAAAAAGAGAGACATAAATTGGAGAGAAGAGTGAAGAATGAAATCCTTTCAGTTATTTGCACAGTTAAACAGAAATGTTTAGAGTCTGGATTTAAACAGCGTCACAGAAGAGTCTGTCTCACATGTTCAGACTGTTCCAGGTTTTAGCTGCATGAACCTGAAACTCTGACTCCCCTTGTTTAGTCGTGACTCTGGGCACCAGCAGGAGTTGGTCCCTGAGCTCCTCAGAGTGTGAGATGTTCATATGACACTAACATGTCACAGATGGACTTTGGTGCTCGGTCGTGGAGACACTTGTACAAACAGAGACACTTTAAAGTCTCTGAGCCACAGGAGCCAGAGCAGAGACCTGAGACCAGGACGCATGTGCTCGTACTTCCTAGTTCGAGTCAGGACCCGAGCTGCAGCGTTCTGGATGTTGTGGATGTTCTGGATGTTCTGGATGTTCTGGATGTTCTGGATGTTCTGGATGTTCTGGATGTTCTGGATGTTCTGGATGTTCTGGATGTTCTGCAGCGTCTCACAGCTCGTTTGGAGAGACCAGTGAGCAGAACATTACAGTATCTAACCTACTGGAGACAAACGCATGGATAAGTTTCTCCAAGTCTGATTTAGACAGTAAACCTTTGATTTTTGCTATGTTTTTTAGATGGTAAAAGGCTGCAGATGTTTTTGACTTTGATGTGGCTGTTAAAGTTCAAGTCTGAGTCCATTATTACCCCGAGATTTCTTGCCTGATTTGAAGGTTTTAGAGAGAGAGACTGGAGGTGATGCTGACACTGTCCCTTTGTTTCTGTGGACCAAACACTATGACTTCAGTCTTGTCAGAGTTTAGCTGGAGAAAGTTGTCGGATGCAGTGACCAAGTGACTCCACTGGTCCATAGTCTCCTGCTGCCAGAGAGACGTAGATCTGAGTGTCGTCTGCATAATTGTGGTAGGACACGTTATTGCTGCTTATTAACTGGCCTGTAGGGGGCAGCATGTAGAGATTGAACAACAGGGGGCCCAGGATTGACCCCTGAGGCACCCCACAGGTCAGGGCCATGTGATCTGAGACTAATAACACTAACACGATATCTTTGACGTAGTAAACATATAAAAAAAACAAAAACTGGTAGTGTCACTTCTTTATACCGACTTTGAGCTTCTATTTTTGCAACTTCACTCACCACATACAGAAAATCTCACACTAATCGATATTAAAACTAATATCGAAACTATTCCTATATCCTCATTTTTCGCAGGTATCGATCTTAAAAAAAATACAATTTTCAGGACGGAGCAAAACGTTTCCTAAATGTGTTTAAAACCATCTGGAGCTGAATCAGAACAAGTATAAGACACAGAGACTAGAACACACACATGGACCTGGTTTAGACCTGGTTTAGTCCTGGTTTAGGCCTGGTTTAGTCCTGGTTTAGGCCTGGTTTAGTCCTGGTTTAGAGGCCTGGTTTAGAGTCCTGGTTTAGTGGTTTAGACCTGGTTTAGACCTGGTTTAGTCCCTGGTTTAGTCCTGGTTTAGACCTGGTTTAGACCTGGTTTAGACCTGGTTTAGACCTGGTTCCTGGTTTAGACCTGGTTTAGACCTGGTTTAGACCTGGTTTAGTCCTGGTTTAGACCTGAGAAGTAGTAGAAGACCTGGTTTAGACCTGGTTTAGGGAATAGAAAAGAAAGTTTTAGTCCTGGTTTAGTCCTGGTTTATGGTTTAAGTGGAAAATCCTGGTTTACAGGAGATTGTTTAAAGAAAGAAAGTTTTATTTTCATCGTGGGATCAGAATCGGTATCAAGTATCGAGTTTGAAATTTTAGTGCCGTGACAAAACTTCCTCGTCATAAACTGTGTGATTTTAGGCTGAGACTTTATTGATCCATAAGGGAAATAAGTCGGTCACAGCAGCTCAGTCATCACATTTTATTACAATAACAAAGGTTAAAAATATAAAACTGATCATAAACGTCTAAATGAGCAGCAATAAAAAAATGCAAGACAAAAGAAGAGCAAGACAAATAAAATACAAATAAAAATAGCAAGACAAAAAAAATAAAAAATAGCAAGATAAAAAAAAATAAAAATAGCAGGACAAAAAAAAATAAAAATAGCAAGACAAAAATAAAAATAAAAAATAGCAAGACAAAAATAAAAAAAAAAAAAAATAGCAAGACAAAAAAAATAAAATAAAAAATAGCAAGACAAAAAAAAATTAAAATAGCAAGACAAAAAATAAAAAATAAAAAATAGCAAGACAAAAAAAGCAAACAAAAATAAAATAAAAATAGTGTGACAAAAAAAAAAAGCAAGACAAAAACAAATTAAAAATCATAGCAAAACAAAAAAAATAGCAAGACAAATAAAATACAAAAAAAAATAGCAAGACAAAAAAAAATAGACAGACAAAAAAATAATAATAATAGCAAGACAAAAATAATAGCAAGATGAAAAAAATAGCAAGTCAAAAAAATAAAAATAGCAAGACAAAAAAAATAAATAAAAACAGCAAGACAAAAAAATAAAAAATAGCAAGACAAAAAAAATTAAAAATAGCAAGACAAAAAAAATAGCAAGACATTAAAAAAATAGCAAGCCAAAAAATAAAATAAAAATAGCGCGACAAAAAAAAAACATAAAAATAGCAAGACAAAAAAAATTAAAAAGTAGCGCCACAAATTTTTTTAAAAAGCAAGACAAAAACAAATTAAAAATCATAGCAAAACAAAAAAAAATAGCAAGACAAATAAAAAAAAATAAAAAAAAATAGCAAGACAAAAAAATTTAAATAACAAGACAAAAAAATAGTAAGGTGATAAAAAAAATAACAAGACAAACGGTAGAGGTTTTTAGCTCTTTCTCATGGTGTGAAAAAAACAAACAAAAACAAATCCTGTGCATAATAACAGACCCACTAAAAATGAAATTTAGGCTGTAAACGGTTGAATCACGTTTTTGAAGTTAATTATGCAAATAAAATATGCACATGTCATTAGCGTCTTTCGGTGACAGTGACGCACGTATCGCAAATTTTTTATATTTTGCTGAAGATTGTTGAAGATTTTAGGGCTTTTTTAAAACACTTGGACATTTGTTGAGCTCTGAAAATCTGACACAAACTCATTTAGAGACGCCCACAGAGTTCAGCTCCAGTCAAATGAAGCTCATCGAGGTCTGCGTACTCTGGTGTGTGTGTGTGTGTGTGTGCGTGTGTGTGTGTGTGTGTGCGTGTGCGTGTGTGTCGTGTGTGTGTGCGTGCGTGCGTGTGTGTGTGTGTGTGCGTGCGTGTGTGTGTGTGTGTGTGCGTGCGTGCGTGTGTGTGTGTGTGTGTGCGTGCGTGTGTGCGTGTGTGCGTGTGTGCGTGTGTGTGTGTGTGTGTGTGCGTGTGTGTGTGTGTGCGTGTGTGTGCGTGTGTGTGTGTGTGTGTGTGTGTGTGTGTGTGTGCGTGTGTGCGTGCGTGTGTGTGTGTGTGTGTGTGTGTGCGTGCGTGTGTGTGTGTGTGTGTGTGTGTGTGTGCGTGTGTGTGTGTATGTGTGTGTGTGTGTGTGTGTGTGTGTGCATGTGTGTGTGTGTGTGTGTGTGTGTGTGTGTGTGTGTGTGTGTGTGTGTGTGTGTTGTGTGTGTGTGTGTGTGTGTGTGTGTGTGTGTGTGTGTGTGTGTGTGTGTGTGTGTGTGTGTGTCGTGTGCGTGTGTGTGTGCGTGTGTGTGCGTGTGTGTGTGTGTGTGTGTGTGTGTGTGCGTGTGTGTGTGTGTGTGTGTGTGTGTGTGTGTGTGTGCGTGTGTGTGTGTGTGTGTGTGTGTGTGTGTGTGCGTGCGTGTGTGTGTGTGTGTGTGTGTGTGTGTGTGCGTGTGTGTGTGTGAATGTGTGGTGGTTCCTTGTCGTAAATCGTTCGAGTGCCTCAAGGTGAAAAGCGCTGTATAAAAATGTGACCATTTACCTTTTACAGTCTGGTTCACACGCACACAAACTGACCTGAGTCCATAACAAGTTTTACTGCCGTTTTCAGTGAATAAAACTCTACTTTGTGAGATTTGTTCATTGACATTTCCTTTGTTTGGTGAATGGTGCAACATGAAACGACGAGGTCCTATCGACTCGACTGAACTTTGTCTCCGTGTTATTGTGTCCAAATATGTGGAGTATCTGGAGACTCTCTTATGTAAAAATGTGGAGTCTAGTCAATAATTGTCAGGGGCACAAAAATGCAGCACAAATCTTCAGGTTAAAGTCCCTTTAATGGACAACAACAACGTCTGTGTGGTTACATAACGCAGCAGAGGGATTCTGTCTTAGTTCGTTTGTGCTGACGAGACTTTTCCCTGGTGCTGGTTTCAGTATAGAAACTCTAACGGCCCGTTTCTCTACTTTGGATTTTTGTTAGAATGATGAGTTTTTAAGAGCTTCTCAGACCGGAACGGAGTTTTGTCGTGACTGTAAAGAGAAAAGTTGTGGCAAAGGTGCGAGGAAAGGACGAAGCGGCAGGAATCGAACCAACAAGGTCGGCAAAGTAGTGGCCACGACATCGTGTAACAGCAACGACCGTACAAACTGTAAATTATAGTCAGACTGGTTAAAAGAATTTGAGGACCATATTTTTCCAGTTTTGCTGAGCAAGATTTTTGTAAGAATTTTTGTGAGGAATTTTGCGTTGCCCACCGCCGCCGCTCCCCACGGGCAACGCCAGAGAAATGGAGAGTTCAGCCCCTCGCAAGGAGTTGGGTTCCAGCGTCTGAGCTGCACGTGGAGATGAGGTCGACTGTATCTAGTCTGTAACACTCAGCCTCCCACACAAGCTCGAGGTCCTCCCCCCGGCGAGGTGACACTTCACATGTCCCCAGAGCCAGTCTCCATGTCCGGTCGCTGAGGCCCCCACCTTCGACCACTGCTCAGATTTCCACACACTGACCCCCCATGGATCCTCCCGCGGGTGATGGGTGCACAGGAGGACGGCCCCATGTTGCTCCTCCTGCTCGGTCGGGCTCCAGGGGGAAAGTCTCGACCACCAGACACCAAAGACCTGACTCCAGAGTCGGGTCCCGCTGACGCTGATCCGGGCGACATAACTGGACATAACTGTGTTCATCATAAAAGGTTTCTGAACCTCTCTTAGTCTGACCCGTCCCCCAGACCTGTTACAATATTTGTGTTGACCTGAGTTAAAACAAGAGACACAGACTCGGTGTCCAGTCTGGTCATGTAGAAGAGCCACAGTCTGTACATGATGTTACACTGAGAATCTGCAGAAACTACATCATGTTCAGTCGTGTAGATCTGTCAGAAGAGTCTGTGACGTCACCACAGCTCAGCTCCAGTCAAATGAAGCTCATGAGGTCGGCAGTTACAGGAGCTGAGTTCAGTATCAGGAACAGGAATTTATGTAGAGACACAACAGTGAAATAAAAACCTCAGGATCATGTAGAGCAGGTTAACACGAACAATTTAACACCAAAATGACGAGTCTCAGAGCAGCAGGTCCAGAGAGACGAGGATGTTGTGCTTCATGTTCACTTCATGTCATGAACCCAGCGGCTCATGGGTTCGTTTTGTTTACTGTCTGTGTTTTTAACTCTCCTGGTGTCGTGTGCAGGTTTGGCCAGTGTGGTGACGTCGCTCTACGTCTGCCTCTACTACAACATCATCAACGGCTGGAGCTTCTGGTACCTCTTCCACTCTTTCCAGGTGAACACCTGCCAAACACCTGCCAAACTCCTGCCAAACTCCTGCCAAACACCTGCCAAACTCCTGCCAAACACCTGCCAAACTCCTGCCAAACACCTGCACCACACCGACTCAGTGCGATCAGGACTTGGTGCTTTTTATTTTTTAAGTAGAAGTTTACTGGGTCATTTTGCAGCCAAACAAAACAAAACAAACACAGACTCCAGCCTCATGGATGATGAGTAAAAGGTTCAGGCTGAAGTAAAAATTCTTCTAACACTAAATCCTGTTAAACAACGACAGAAAAGCAGCGTCCTCGGTCTTAGTCCTGGTTTGTATTTACAGTTTCACTTATGACTCACTCTATGTATAAGAGACAAAATATAAATTAAAACAAACCAAATTTAATGCATAATTCATTCATTCTATATCTTTATACTCTTTTTTTTTAAGGCTTTTACAGTGTTAGACTTTTTTTTTAAATCATCACTCAGATTGTTCTACACACTCGCCCCTCGAACACAAACACAAACACTTTTTTTTCTTAATTTTTCCTGGTTCGGTGAATAGAACCTGTGGTCAAACTTTAGCATAGTTTTTCATCAGTTAAAGGTCCAATATTACAACAAACAGACTCTTCTGACCTATGTTCAATATGTTCATATTTTTAATGCATTATTTTTTTGTAATTAATTCATCGTAATTCACCTGTTAATGTCCCTCGCCCACAAAACCCGTCATGTTAATATTGAACATCATTGAACCTCGTGGTGCTTCACGAACCTCGTGGTGCTTCACGAACCTCGTGGTGCTTCATGAACCTCGTGGTGCTTCACGAACCTCGTGGTGCTGTCTGTAGGCCGTCCTTCCCTGGTCCACCTGTCCTCTCTCAGCCAATCGGACGGAGCCTCTGGAGGAGTGCCGCGTGGCCACGCCCACTCAGTACTTCTTCTACCGAGAGACTCTGAACATCTCGCCGTCCATCGAGACCAACGGAGGCCTCCACATGGGACAGGCCCTGTGCCTCCTGCTCGCCTGGGTCATGACCTACCTCTTCATCATCCACGGAGTCAAGTCCACCGGCAAGGTACGACTCGAGCCCCGTGTTCACGCCGACGTACACGCCCACTGCGACGGACACGCCCACTGTGACCTACACACTGTGACCTACACACTGTGACCTACACACTGTGACATACACACTGTGACCTGTGACACACTGTGACGTACACACTGTGACCTACACACTGTACACACTGTGACCTACACACTGTGACCTACACACTGTGACCTACACACTGTGACCTACACATTGTGACCTACACACTGTGACGTACACACTGTGACCTACACACTGTGACCTACACACTGTGACCTACACACTGTGACGTACACACTGTGACCTACACACTGTGACCTACACACTGTGACCTACACACTGTGACGTACACACTGTGACACACACTGTGACACACACTGTGACACACACTGTGACACACACTGTGACACACACTGTGACTGTGACCACACACTGTGACGTACACTGTGACGTACACACTGTGACGTACACACTGTTGTGACACACTGTTTGTGACGTGACGTACACACTGTACTGTACGTGACACTTGACGTACACACTGTGAGTGACTGTGACACACGGTGACTTTGCAACTCAGATTTTATTTTCTTAATGTTTGACACTTGTAGGTTTGGGCAGAGTCGCGTCGTCATTTTGGTCCAAATGTAAAAACTCTGCTCCAGAGTGAAGTGCAGCTCCACAGGAGGAGGACACAACATGTGGTGTTTTGTCGTCTTGATGTTTACGGCCATGTCAACTCTGGACACTAGAAATGCAGCGATATTTGATATAATATTGAATCGTTGGGTACTGGCGTCACGATTCGATACTCGTGTTTGTTTGATACTCGTGTCCCTCCGTGCGCTTTGTGTCGTCATTTATTTTGATCTAAAGCAGTGCTTCTCAAATAGTGGGGCGCGCCCCCCGGGCGCGAGGCTCCGTCAAGGGGGGCGCGTTTGACCTCGGGGAGCATGCTTTTTTATTTTTTTATTTAGATTTTTTTTTTTACTGTCTTAAGGGCCGTTCACACCAAAGCGTCAAAAAACGCCTTGTCGCTTCTATTTGGAGCCTTTGCATGTGAGTTTAGACGCCCCCGACGCGCATCTTTGACGCCGTGGACGAACGGGACAAAAATACTTGACGCGCGTCCGTTGCCCTGGAAACAAGAGCCCGGTCCCGCTCTTTTCCCGAAACAATGTCAGACCAGACTGAGAGAGTGTTTTTATGACATAAAACATCAACGGAGGAGATCGGGTCGACGACTTGGGTGTTTATATATTTTACTACTCCGCTAATGACACTGGATCAGTCCCGTCTAGTCTAGGTCCTGGTCTAGTCTAGTCTCGGTCTAGTCTCGGTCTAGTCCTCGGTCTAGTCTCGGTCTAGTCTCGGTCTAGTCCTTGTTTAGTCTAGTCTCGGTCTAGTCCTCTAGTCTAGTCTCGGTCTAGTCTCGGTCTAGGTCCTCGGTCTAGTCTAGTCCGGTCTAGTCCTCTCTCGTCTTAGTCAGTCTCGGTCTAGTCTCGGTCTAGTCTCTCCTTAGTCTCGGTCTAGTCTCGGTCTAGTCCGGTCTAGTCCGTCTTGTCCGGTCTAGTAGTAGTCCGTCCTTATTCTCCGTTCATGTTTGTGGTTCTCGTTCTGGTTCTCGGGTTTTTCTTCTCCTGATAATAACGTCGCTGCGTCTCTGGATACTCGTCCCTGATTGGTTGACGCGGCGCGTCTGACGCGAAAAGTTCAGCATTTTCAACTTCTTGACGCTGACGCCTTGGACGCGCGTCTTGGCCGCTGACGCCAAAAACGCTGAAGACGCGCTGCGCTGACGCCAGATTCGCGCCGCGCTGACGCCGAAAACGCGCCGCAAAAACGCAGGACGCTCTAGTCGCGCGTCCACATAGACTTTACATAGAAAGTGGACGCTTTGACGCTTTGGTCTGAACGGGCCTTTAGAATAAAGTGCAATTGCACTTCCACTACATTAGGGGGCAGAGCGCTCTCATTGGCAGAGTGTGCGCAGGGAGCATTCGCTCGGTGGTGTAGGAGTTTTGTTTGCACTGAGCATGCACGCTTTGCACACAGCACAGAGTTTGAGTATGAAGTGTAGACACGAAGTGTAGCAGACCCTCAAGTGACACCATGGAAAAATATTTAACAGGGATGAGAAGACAGACGGAGAGAGACGGAGATAAAGAGACAAACGAAAATCTCCCGAAAGCTAAGACGAGGAAATATGACGAAGCGTATGTAGCGCTTGGCTTCACTGTGACTACGGTGGGAGACGAGGAAAGACCGGTGTGTTACTGCGTCTAAAAATGTTGGCAGCCGACAGCATGAAGCCCAATAAATTAAGGCGTCACTTAAATACATTACACCCCGATCACTCTGATAAGCCGCTTGAGATTTTTCAGCGAAAACGTGCCGAATATTGCCGACAATCATCCCGCTTTGTGACTGCTACTTCAGTAAACCAGCAAGCGTTGTTGGCGTCATATAAGGTGGCAGTGTCACGCACAGGTGCACTTATAACTAGTTTATAGACAAATGATACTATTTATAGTCACGCGGGGGGGGGGGCATGACAGAAAATAATTGAGAAGCACTGATCTAAAGGGACCAAAAGGTTAAAACAGCTCCATAGGGACTTACACATGAAATATTCTATGGATCCTTCAATGTTCCGAAGTGCAGTTTTAACTTTCCATTTCTGTCTGGATTCATGCAGGAGATGTGTCACCTCTAGAAAGTTCCATATAGGAGCTTTAAATATGTGAATAATTAACTGAGAGAAAAGCTCTGTAAGCACAAACTCAGACTGAAGTCCTGCTGTGGTCCGGAACATAACACCTGACACACGACGAGTGTACAGAACATGACACACGACGAGTGTACAGAACATGACACACGACGAGTGTACAGAACATGACACACGACGAGTGTACAGAACATGACACACGACGAATGTACAGAACATGACACACGACGAGTGTACAGAACATGACACACGACGAGTGTACAGAACATGACACACGACGAATGTACAGAACATGACACACGACGAGTGTACAGAACATGACACACGACGAGTGTACTGAACATGACACACGAACATGTGTACAGAACATGACACACGACGAGTGTACAGAACATGACACACGACGAGTGTACAGAACATGACACACGACGAGTGTACAGAACATGACACACGACGAGTGTACAGAACATGACACACGACGAGTGTACAGAACATGACACACGACGAGTGTACAGAACATGACACACGACGAGTGTACAGAACATGACACACGACGAGTGTACAGAACATGACACACGACGAGTGTACAGAACATGACACACGACGAGTGTACAGAACATGACACACGACGAGTGTACAGAACATGACACACGACGAGTGTACAGAACATGACACACGACGAATGTACAGAACATGACACACGACGAATGTACAGAACATGACACACGACGAGTGTACAGAACATGACACACGACGAGTGTACAGAACATGACACACGACGAGTGTACAGAACATGACACACGACGAGTGTACAGAACATGACACACGACGAATGTACAGAACATGACACACGACGAGTGTACAGAACATGACACACGACGCACAAACTGAACACTGCACCAGAGGAAGTGTGGACAATGACAGTGACGGAAAAATATAAAGACTCTCACAATTATGTGTTTAGTTACAGCCAGTGTCGGGAGTAACAGATTACATGTACTGGAGTTATGTAATCAGAGTACAAATTATTAATAACTGTATTCAGTTACATTTACTGTTTCAGTGAGTGGTAATTGGATTACAGTTACTTTGTTGAAATTCCACTGATTCCCGGAAACTCAACCAGGTCTAAACTAGATCTCAACCAGGTCTAAACCAGGTCTAAACCAGGTCTAAACTAGGTCGTCTAAAACCAGGACTAAAACAGGACTAAACTAGGAATAAATCAGGACTAAAAGCAGGTCTAAACAAGATCTAAACTAGGTCTAAACCAGGTCTAAACCAGGTCTAAAACAGGATTTAACAGGTCTAAATCCTGCTGTGTGGACGTGTTTCTTCATTTTCTATCAATAATATTTTTAATTTGGTTCAGTAAAGTTTGGGCTTTTTATTTTCTTTTATCAGACAAAACTTCTTATGTGAAGATTTCCTCGTCTTTGTTTCTCTACAGTAAATCAAATAATCCAAAGTATTCAGATTACATTACTCACTTTAAGTAATTTAATGGATTATGTTACAAACGACATTCTGGTGTGTGTAATCTGTAATCTGTATTACATTTTAAAAGTAAACTTCCCAACACTGGTTACAGAGCGTTGACCTGCAGTAAAATGTGTTTTGTGACATGTTTCCCTTCACAGGCCGTCAGAGTAGTTTATATATATATATATATATATATATATATATATATATATATATATATATATTATTATTTTTTTTTTTTTAATAGGGACAGTGTATATTAATGAACATCTACAACACTGCAGAGTAAATATGACAGATTATACCAAGAATGCTCATTTTCATCTGTCGTCCCTCAGCAGGAAACACCACAGATTAAACAGAAAAAACAAAAATAAGTGACAGTTTTATACTAAAAGTGTCCACAAGTCTGGTTTTCCTTTAAAAGTGTCAATAGTTGGAGTTTCTCTTGTTGACAGTGGCAAACTGTTCTAAAGTTTTGTGCCTCTGACTGAGACACAGTTTGTCTGAATGTGTTGCGTCTTTGTGGAGCTCACAGTTCCCACTGACACACTTTACTTTAATAAAATCCAGTAATGGAGGGGGGCAAGTCCCTGCAAAACTTTACAGATAAAACATCCATATTTAAAATCAACAAAATTATTAAAATTAAGCAGATTCTACTAGTCTAAAATAGTGCAGTGGTGAAATGAGAGGTTTCTTGTCCAATATTTTTATGGCTTTTTAAAAAGTGATTCAATGGGTTTGATGGAGAATACTGTGAGTACTGTAAGTACTGTGAGTACTGTAAGTACTGTGAGTACTGTAAGTACTGTGAGTATTGTGAGTACTATAAGTACTGTGAGTATTGTGAGTACTGTAAGTACTGTGAGTACTGTAGTACTGTAGTACTGTGTACTGTAGTACTGTGAGTAGTACTGTGAGTACTGTGTAGTAGTACTGTACTGTAGTACTGTGAGTACTGTGAGTACTGTACTTAGTTGTGAGTACTGTGTACTGTAAGTACTGTAAGTACTGTGAGTACTGTAAGTACTGTGAGTATTGTGAGTACTGTGACTGTAGTACTGTAGTAAGTACTGTAAGTACTGTATAAGTACTGTAACTGTGAGTACTGTAAGTACAGTACTGTAGTACTGTAAGTACTGTAGTACTGTAGTACTGTGAGTACTGTACTGTAGTACTGTACTGTGAGTACTGTGAGTACTGTAAGTGCTGAGTACTGTAAGTACTGTGAGTACTGTGAGTTGTGAGTACTGTGTCTGAATACTTGGAATACTTTTCTATCGAGGTCAGTTTAAATTATTGTATAAAACACAACATGAGACTCACAGCTCCTCACCACATGAGCTGGGTTCTGTTTTTATCATTAATTTTGTGCAGTTTGGAACCTAAATTGTGTGATCAAGTTCTGCAGTGTATTTCTAAAGATGTGTGTGTGTGTGTGTGTTTGGGTTTGTGTGTGCGTGTGTGTATGACTACCTGAGCCATTACAGTATAATATGTTTGATGGAGTTGTTTTTGTTGGAGACGGTGTCGTCAGACTTGTGTGTGTTTCTTTCTTCACTCGTGCTCTTTGTTCTGTGGCTCCAGATCATCTGACTTCTGTTTATTCAGCTGAAAACTGTTTGGTTTAAGCACTTTCCACTTAATAAGGATTGTGCTTTTTACACACACAAAGGTGTAATGAGCTTTTGTGACATTTTAGAGTCACTCCCCCAGCGTCGCCCAGAAGAGTCACAGCAGAACTGTTTAACAAGATCTGCACCATCCTGGAGTTTTTATTTCTCTGTTTTGTCCTTAAAAAAATCCAGTTCTTAGTCTGTAAATCTGCTCCAAAGTCACTTGTGTATCTGCTCCCCTCGATGAGCTTCATTTGACTGGAGCTGAACTCTCTCAGTTTTCTTCTTTTACACTTCTGTTTGAATCTTGGTGCTTGACTCACAGCTGTTCCCTGTCGCCCCCTGCAGGTGGTTTACTTCACTGCCACTTTCCCGTACGTCGTTCTGACCATTTACCTGATCCGCGGCCTCACGCTGCACGGAGCCTTCAACGGCGTCACCTTCATGTTCACACCTAAGGTAAGGCTTCAGCTACATGTTCACACCTAAGGTAATACATCGCCTTTATGTTTACACCTAAGGTAATGCATCATCTACATGTTCACATCTAATGTAATGCATCATCTACATGTTAACACCTAAGGTAAGGCTTTGTTTACATGTTCACACCTAAGGTAAGGCATCATCTACATGTTCACACTTAAGGTAATACACCATATACATGTTCACACCTAAGGTAAGACTTCACCTACATGTTAACACCTAAGGTAGGGCTTCGTTTACATGTTCACACTTAAGGTAATACACCATCTACATGTTCATACCTAAGGTAAGGCTTCATTTACATGTTCACACCTAAGGTAATGTTACATATACATGGTAACACCTAAGGTAATGCATCATCTACGTGTTCACACCTAAGGTAAGGCTTCATCTACATGTTCACACCTAAGGTAATACATCACCTTCATGTTCACACCTAAGGTCATCATCTACATGTGACAGTGCCTCCACCATCATGTTTTAGACCATTAGTTTAAAGTGAAAGTAAAACTGTAGCTTCAGTGAGTTTGTTTTCAGCAGGTTGTGGCTCTGGTCAGGACTTGGGCGGCAGAGCGCAGGGTTTACCAAACTGTTACTGTGTCCTTAGGCAAGGCACTTAAACCACCTTCTCTAATATGAAAGTGGAGTTTGTGTGTGCTGAGGGTCAGATGGCGCAGACTGGCAGTCTTGCTTCCATGAGTCGACCCCAGGGCAGCTGTGGCTTCAACAGTAGCAGTATAAAACAGTGGTCTCCTTTTTTGCCCCACGGACCAGTTTAACGTCAGACAATAAATGAAACGACCAACACAAAAACTGTGGTATTTTGTAAAAACGTTTTCAAAGACGTCGTTTTTATTCATTTTGCAGCTGTGGGTTTAATATTAGAGTTAATGTAACACGAGTCTAGAATGAGGCGAGAGCGAGGATCTGTTAAAAAAACTGGAGGTGTTGCTGCTTCCTGTGAAACTCACTGAAACTTCAGCAGAAAAAATCCCCTGGACCGAGACAAGATTTTTCTCATAGAGGAAATGTGATCACAAACTGCTCGTGTTCGTCTGACAGGGATCTTCAAAAATGTCAGATTTGTTGGCGATTTTTTCCTATTTTTAGATCACAAACTTTTTCTCAGCTCAAAATTCTTCAGTTGTCTTAAAAAACTCTTTACAATCGTTCGCTCCGGCTCCACTCTGCTCCTCTCGCTCTGATTGGTCAAAGTGATTAAGTGACACACGAGCCCGAACTCCGAGAAAACACTCTTCTGCACAAGCTCGGTCGACCCACAGCCACCGGAAGAACCTCACCGGGCCAAAGGCAAATCTAGAATCATGCGACATTAAGCTTGGCCTAGTGACCTGAACGAGCAGCCAGTTTGAAACCCGTAAACCAGACATGGTTTCTTGGCCCTCAGGCTTCCAGGTGAATTGGCCCAAATGACCTTGCATCAAATAAAAATTAACTTTTTACTGCAAGTTTTTTGAAAATCCACCTTGATAAAACAAATACTTAATATTTAAAACCACGCACTTAAATCTTAGCGTGAATAAAGACTGATGGTTCATTCTAACGTGTTAAACATGCACATATTTCAGTTATTCACTGCACTGAGCATCAGTCTACGGCCCTCGACCAAAACTCTGCTTCGTCTGTGTTTACATATGTGGCCCTTAATGAAAAAAGTTTGGACGTCCCTGCCGTAGACGTAACGGAGAGAATTTGG